AAGAACAGATGCCACCTGCTGGGCCTGCGGTGAGCCCGCGCCAGGTCAGCACGCTGCCCTGACGCTCACTCGCACGCCTACCTTCTATCTCTTTCCATCCGGTTATGCCTCTCCCTACGCTGGGACCGTCCTCCCTGGGGCCCGCTCTGCGCCTGCTCGCCCAGGTTGGGCTGGGAGGACTCCGAGGACTGCCACACGCCTGGGCCGGCCGCGGGCCCTTCGCCCACATTCTGAATCTCTCCAAGGGCTCTTCGTTCTACATTTGTGTCCAACTGCCGCATCCTACTCCGATTCCTCTTATTTATCGCTTGTTTACATAGCGCTTCTTCTTTGCAAAAGAAGGAAAAAGGGGGATTTTATTTACTTTTTCATTCTTAATTTATCCTCTCTGACGCTGACTGTATTTTCCAGCAGTTTAAATCCAGCTACTGACAATTCCGGGCAGGCTGCAGAGACTGGACCATGAGGGCCAGCGCAGGTGCCGTGAGCAGCTGGCAGCTGGCAGCAGGCCCCAGCCCACCTCCCTCACCGAGCCCAGACACAAGCCTGCCCTTCGACCTCTCATTTAAACAGCATGTCCCGCCCCGTAGGGCTGCGTCAAAGTCTCCCTTTCTAATCAACAGACGCTGTAATCTATGAATAAGGAAATCAAGCTATTCACTTTTTCTGAAACTCAGAATGGGGCCCGACTTTCCGCTTTACAGTCAGAATGTGCATCAGAACACATGATTGCTTTTCAAGAGAGATGTTTGTTCTCTGCTTCTCACCAGAGAGAGGCAGAGAGACATAAAGTGAGAAATCACTCCCTGGGGGGACGACCACACCACGATGCCTTCTCTCGGGACTTTGGCCACGTACCCACACGCACTCGGCATGAGGTTTTTTCTCTTTCTGAGAGGGATTTTTGTTATAAGGCGCATGTGCTTGCTGGAGAGACAAAGAGAGAGAGAGAAAAAGAAATCACCCTCAGCAGGGATGGCCACGTCACAATCCCTTCTCCTGCATTCTCCTCTCAGGAACTTGGGCACGCACCGGCCTGAGTTTCAAGCCTCCTGGTCTGGGACTCAAACCGTGGCCAACTTCACAGGAGTACAAGGTGACCATTATGCCATCTGCTGGTCCTCCAATGTGAGTTTTAAGCCACCCAGTCCAGGACTTGAACCCCAGTTGACTACATGAGTCCAGTGACCTAATCGTTACACCATCGGCTAGTCCCACAACACAATGATTCTAACGTGGCACTGCTATTTCAACTGCCATGCTCACGAGAGGGTGACAAATGCCCTCGCCCTAGAAGTGACGCCCACAGGAGGGGTCCCCAGTGGTGCTCTGAGGCTATGCTGCGTGGGCACCTGCACAGACAGGCCGCTGTCCGTCAGAGAACATGGCGTCTGGGCGGCAGGTGTGAGGTGGCCTCCCCAGACACCAGGCAAAGCGAGGGTCTGCGTAAGAGGAATGGCTTCACCCGCGTCCCAGGGGGAGTGGTATAGTGGGTACAGGGCACTTCGGGCTTGGGGTCACTCCCAAAGCTGAGCCATCAGCACAGGGACTGTTCTCCTGACAAACACCCACACACACTTTGGGGTAAAATGTTACCACAGAGTAAATAAACAGATGACAGGGCGGAGCAGCAGGTGGCATGGTGTCTGAGGCACTGACCCCCTCCCACAAGGCTGGCTGCGGGGCAAGTCCCAGACCTGGTGGTGCTTTCTCACTTTTCTGTGTCTCTAAACAAATCTTAAAAACAAAAGATGATGATAAATAAGAAAGTTAAATCAAAGAATGCTTCAACTGTGGTGGTTAAGGGCACTGGACTCCCACATGGCCCACTGTGGTTTGCTTCCTGGACCTGGCGGCTTGCTTTCTCACTTTCCCTCTCTCTATCTCACTCTGTCCCTCTCTGGTCAAATTAAAATAAGTAAATTAATAAAGTTAAAATAATTTAACAAAACACAGGACAGAGAAAGCAGTAGCACTCCAACCCTACCCTGTACGCGTTCGGCCTTGACAAGCTTGGTGTGAACTGTTATTTTACACGGTAACTTGAAAAAAACATTTTTTTCCAGGCAGAGGTTTAGTATTAACTGCCCGGACCTGCCACATCTGCCTCCAGCCGGCAGGTCACTTCCCAGGCGCATCCCCACGCCCCCACTCCCGGAGGTAACTGGCGTGGAAGTGACAGGAGCCTCCACTAAGCCTATCATTTCACTGCTCAGGAGAAGCCTCCCAACTTGTGTCTCTAACCAAGGCTGATCTCGGGGCCTGACGGAAGGTTCCTAGTGGGATGACCTGCGGGCTGGCTGGACCGAACCGCAGACTGCCACCCACAGGTGTGCACCATGTCCCTCCCCGCCCAAGGCCGGAGGACCTGCGGGAGGCTGGGGCAGAAGCACGGCTCCCCTCCACTTCATGGCTTACCTCCCACTTTAATCCAAACCTGCTCGGGCAAAGCCTTGCTCCGGCCGCCTAAGGTCTGTTTCGTGGCCTCGATCTCTTGCTGATAGCAAAACGAAAAGGCTCTAGGCAGTCCGACGTCCTGGTGCTTGGCCGCTTCAAGTATGGAGCAGGAGCCGCTAGAACTCTGGAAAAAACGAAGCAACAGCCCTGTCATCCGGGTGGGGGCCGGGTCCTCACTGCACAAGTCAAACGCACCCGCAGGCCCGTCCGGGCCGCCGGGGCCACCTGAGCAACGGTGCCGTGTTTTCAGATCCCCAGAAGCTCCTCAGCCAGGGAGAAAAGCAAGCCTTGCGGGCAATCCGCAGTCGGGGCGAAGCGCGCGGCCCCTACCTGCGCCTGGGAGAGGCTGGGGTTCCCGGAGGCGGCGCAGGCGTTGGCCGCGAACAGCGGGTAGGTGAACTGCAGGGCCGTGGCGGCGGCGGTTTTGTTTTTCACTAACGTGGTGCATTTGTTTTGTTGCTGGTGAAGAGGGACATTCATTAATTCAGGCGGATGTCGAATAAGAGTCACCAAACTGCCAAGACAAGAACCGCAGGCGCGCGTGAGGCCGGCGCGCAGGGTCCGGCGGGGCGCTGCTGCCCGCGGCCCGGCGCAGGTGCTCGCACGACCCGCCCGC